GAGCGCAGGAAGGGCGCGTCTACCGCAGACAGGAGAAGCCATGGCCTGTCCACTGAGGAAGAGGAAGCAGGAAAAGGGGGCCTTGCAGAGAGGCCTGTGTGACCGAGGAAGGGGGAGACCCCACCTGCAGGCTCCAGAGCAGAAGGGGCCAGCTGAGGGGTGAGGGGTGTGTGCTGGGAACAAGGAGAGGGTAGGGGCAGAGGAGAACGATACCGGGTCCACTCAGTGTTGGAGTTGTGCCCGACCAAGGTCACAGACAATTCTATAAAAGAATTGAGCACATTTGCAAACAGGCAATTCTAATAACGGACCGTGGACTCGAAGCTGAGTAGGAGGGACGCTCACGTTGCAGGTGGTGGCTGAACAGAACGAATGTGGACCGGTCATGGGTCTGCGATGTTCATGGGACTGAAGGGACATGTCCGAGGTGGCCTCCGCGTGGAAGGCGCCGCGGCTGCGGAAGTGGCATGTTTGGATCTGGGCCTCTGGAGGTGAGCTGCCTCCGGGATGGCACAGTCTCCACTGTGTCTGTAGGAGAGGAAGGCCAGCGCTCACCGCAAGAATGACCAAGAAGGACGCAGGTGCTGGGAGGGGCGGGAAACTGAGCAGGGGCCAGGGCAGTCGAGGACGGAAGTGCTGTCATTCCGCTGGTGGAGACAGAGGGACAACCAGCTGGCGGGGCCTCGGGGGCTTTCTACGGTGGGGGGGTAGGCGTGAAGAAGCAAGGACACACCGACACTTCCACTGGACCCTGGTCACCGGTCATCCCGCGAGGCACACACAGCTGTTCTCATCTTCCATTGAGGACACTGAAATTCGGACAGGCTAAATGTCCTGCCCAAGGTCACAAACCAATGGAACAAACCCCCAAACACTCCCCCGCCCAAGTCGATGCCAGTGGCGGGAAGGGCTGAGCGAGAAGCCAACTGTCTTCTTGGCGGAAATGGCCTCATTCATTCATTAACATCCCACAAACGTGAAAGGGCCTGGTACCGCCATATCACTGTTCCAGAAAAGCGGTTCCCACACCTCCCGTCTGATGCCCAGGGCTGCACCAAGACCTAACGATTTTCACAGCGACGTTCTTCAGTCTTTCATGCTGGAAAAATGTAGAAGAACGTATCTTTTTGTTAAATGCTAAACACACACAGGTTTTGCAGAGCTCGCTTCTGTGGAGAATGAGGCGTGGAGGCTGTGCTCCGTCTTCTTGATGAAACGCACATTGACTATTAAAAGGAAAGTCGTTCATGTAAATAAAACTTGGAAAGGAAGACCTTGTAACAATCCCAGCTGGTTACCTTTAGGGTGCTGAAAAGCTCCACAGATTAATATCCTCTGGCAGCAAGCCCAAAAGATTCTTATTTGATTATAAATTGGATGCATTTTCAATCAATGAAAGCATGTTCGGTTTGGAAGCATCCTGTCCCAAGACAGTCACATGTGCTGACAGCGAGGGGAACACCCCATGCAGAGGTGCCCCCCCACCCCCACCCAGGGCACCTCTCCTCGTTGGCATCCCAAGGGTTCGCTGCCACCCCCCTGTGTGTACCCAGGATGCTGGGTACACATCGCTGTACTAGAAAAGCTTCAAAGAAAATTTTATAACTCCAAAAGAGAGACAGGCAGGAGGGCACCCTCTGCCTTCCCAACACAACTCCCCTTTCGTTCTGGTCAGCAATGTCCCCTTAAAAGTCTGAAGCTAGAGATGAGGTGGCAGAAGGGCGCCAGCCGGGGCTTAGGAAGCTGAGACGCGTGAGGCACACACCCTTTACCTTCGCCCTCTGCCCCCTGTCATGTCCATCATGTGTGGGGACATGCAGCCCGCTGGGAGCGTGCAGGGCAAGTCTGGCTCCACCAAGGGCAGGACGCCCTGAGGGGCCTGGGAAGTCGACGGGCCTACCGGCTGGTTTCTGTCTGCTCAGGAGGAAATGGCTTTATGCCACCGAGGCCTGGCTGTCTGTCTTCGCTTATAAATGAACCCGTTCCCCACGACAGAGGCTCTGGATAAAGCCCACTTCCCCTTGAAGTCTTCCTTGTTCAGGTCCAGGCCTGCAATCTTCAGCCCCAGGCCCTGCATTCAGGGTTTGGATTCAAATTCCGTTGCCCTACACTCTTATAGAGGATGGTTCTGAACAACTGGGTACAGGACAGCCGTGACACACACGTGGCTGCACGTTGCCAACAGGGGAGTGCCTGTCATGTAAGCTTTCTGGATGCATCACCTCTTATTCTCCTATTCTACTCACAGCAGCCCTGAGAGGCAGGCAGGAAAACCCGTCTGCGGATGGGAGGCCGAGCGTCTGCGCAGGTCACACCGCTGGGCATGGCAACACCCATGGTCCACTCGTGTCCCACCGTGTGTCCCAGCTTTCTGTGTCCGAGGCGGCCCACAGACATGCCTCTCCTTGCAGTTTGGGTGGGAGTCAGCAAGCACATCTGCACCCACACATTGCCATGGCAACGTGGGGGCAGCGTGCCTTTCTTCGCCCATTATTTGCTCTGAACCATGTGATGGGCTCTGGTCAGAATATGTGAGCAGACAGGTCACAAGCTGAGGCTTGAAATGTGCTTGTGAAGGCTGGCTGGTCACCCTGTTTTTCAGGCACAGCCATGCAGAGAACGTGCCAGATGGCCCTACGTCCTAGGGGACGGGACGCTGGAGCACACCTGCGTCCAGCCAAGCCCGGCCAGGGCTGACCAGCCCTGCCCACACACAGAGGCTCGAACAAGAAGAAACAAGCATTGCTCAAAGCCATGGAGTTTGTGGGTGGCTTGCTCACAGCCCTACAGTAAAAGATGGCTAGCATCACTTTGTAGAATGAAGAAATACCAAAAATGGCTAAATAACTAATTAATCAAAAAATATTTTACAAATTTTGGTCTATGTGGTAATATGTGTTATTACAAATAAAACCATCACCA